AATTTGAGACATCGCTTCCATGGAATTGTTTTGTTGTCAATCTCCAGTTGAATACTTTGAAATTTCATTGTCCAAGTCTCTGTGGCTTTGACATTACAAAAGGATCATTGCATAAAGGTTAGAACCTAACACATTCTAATAGTGGCAAGAATTTGGCATTCTTACACTTGTGATAAAGATTTGGAGTTGTGAAATGAGTTTCATTGAAGATGTATTCAATTGATCTATTTCACAAAGAAAGGACCATAGGTAAACATAGTGTGCATGCTTGGAGCATGGGATAACTATTGTTTTAATTCAAGTATAAAGTTGATAAATCGAAACATTATACAATGAATAATGTGTAATCAATATGGTGATTAAATAAAAGGTGTTTTATTTATATTCAAAAGTTTGAGACCATATTGGATTCGATTATTCTTGTGTTTCACTTTGCATGTTTTGACTTCCCGAATATTAAATTATTCAAACTATCTACAGTCGATCATACTTTGGAAGTAGGTATTGAAGCTAGATTGTCATGAATGGGTCTGTAGATTGTCTAAAGGTGTTTAGACATAGCACAAGTTTGTTGCAGTATTCATGAGTACTCCTGTAATAAGATTTGAGTATTGGACTAATCTCACGCTCATTTGAATCACTTCATGGATTTTATCATGAGTGATCATGAGACGATAATATATTATATTCTTGAAACAAAGACATATGAGTTGCAGTTTACAAGTCGGTTGCACATTGATGATGTGAAAACGCACCAGTAACTAGGTGTTATAAAACATATCATTGTGTGTGATTTGATGAGTAAATAGAGCAAGCATATGATTCGAATTTTATCCGTTCCTTTTACCCAATATGGGATAAAAGCGATATATGTGGGCCCCTCGATGATTTAGTGATGACAACCCTAAGCGCTTGGCCAAGCCTGGAATGATTTGATTTGTTCAATTAGTCGGTCGTCATAAATCGGAAATCGGGAAACAACACATGAACAGAGAGAATGATTTTAATCAATGTCTCAGTTCATACGATATCTAGAATGGAGGAATATATGGTCCCTTATCTAATGGATGCGTTACTAATAAGATCAGAGTTTGACAACGGTCTTTTTGAGAGCTACGATCATCAATCGGGTTTTGAAGTCGTACTTGCGATTATAGTTATTAGACTTATCCAAGTGGGAGACTGTTGGATTATGTGTCTAAGCCCATAACTACAGTTGGTATGTACTTGACCCGATACAGCATGGTCGATTTGGGTTGTAACACTCTGGAACAATTTGATAGGATGGATACTTGAGAAAGAGATTATTTGTGATTTATTAATATATTATAAGTATAATATATTAATTGAGAAATCATATTATTTAATTAGTATTGATCAAGAATTAATTTGGAATTAATTTAGTGATAAAAAGAGACTAATTAAATTAACAGGGACTGATTGTGTAAATCAGTGATACATATGGTTTGGGTTATTGATCCATGATGGACTAAGCTTATGTTAAAGTCCATGAAATATTAGTCCATATGAATTATGGATCATAAGCCTAAGTGTAAGAATTAGGGTTTGCTTATGACTCTTGGAATTCTACACTATATATGTATTCCTCTAAAGCCAAAATCGTGCACTGTGTGTTCCTAGAAGCCATAAACGATTTTATGTCTCCAAGCCTCTCTCTCAAATTCCTACTCTTGTTCTTGGTTTGTTATAATTCCATTTGAGGCATTACACTTGAGGTGCTAGGCTCTTGACAGACCAATTCCTACTAGCTACAAGAAAGAGGTAATCTTCTAACTTACTTTTATGATTTATATGTCAAATTGTAGCTAGTTGTAGGTTTCAAGCTTTGGAAATTTTTGTTGCATGTATAACTAGAGAAAACTTAAATCCAAAGCTATTAGGGTTGTATGTGCACCATAGGAGTGTTATAGTACACAAAACCCAACATCTTCCACCAGTCCTTTGCTCCCAAGCGAAGCTAGTTCAGCGCAAACCGAACTCTCAGGTGCTCCGGGCATGAACACGTATAGAAGCACCCATCGATGTCGGAGATCCATCTCATGGCAGCAATCGGGTCCTGGGTCCTGTCGAACTTCGGTGGCTTCGTGTTGTTGAACTCCCGAAGCAACAATGAATCACTCCCCTGAGGCCTCGCAGTAGCTAGGGTTGCGGTGGTTGCGGCAGCAGTAGCCTTTATAACAGCATCGTGTCTCTCATCAAAAGTCTCGATAAGTGTGGTCTTAGTAGACCTGAACATCTCCGGTATGGCCTCTGTGATAGCTGCGACCACCTCCTCATGAATGATCCTGCGGATCTCCTCGTCACTGGTATCACTACTCACGGGGTTGTTGCGGGTAATCACCATAGTGTCTCTAAAACGCAAACACAAAATCATTAGAGACTAGCTCAAACACTCACACATTTGATTACCCACCCCTACATGCTCATTAGCATCCTAAGGTTCTTACTTAGGTCGCTTACAGATCTGGTGCTTTCAGTAGTACGGGCCCAATACTACCTTCCACACCAACCTGTAGTCGTCCCATGTCCTCCTCCTAGGATCCTAATTCACAATACTCTATCCCTCACGGATATCAAACTACTCTGTCGGTAAATTCCTCACTGCTCATCTAGGTATCTCTCCTAGATTACTCTGAACTCTCTCTAAAAGATTCATGCTATGTTTCTCCCTACTCAGTACACACACAGAGCATATAGCAGATAAGATCAATCGATAACATACCCTAGGCTAAGGCATCCTGAATCAGTCAACTCTAGCCCTAATTTCTGAAATACCTAGCCTATCCTCTAGCATGCAATTCTAATATCTCATAAGTATCTCATAATATAAACAAATAATGGTATTTTGGGAAATCACCGTTCGGGCTCTGGCTGATTGTACACACTGCTCCGTCTCGTTTACTATTTAAAACTCTTACTCGTTTTAGAAAATCATTTTTTTTTAGAAAAATTTTCTCAAATCTTCAGTTTGAGTCTAGACATATCCGATAGTACATCTGAATCCCTCAAACCAAGGCTCTGATACCAACTTGTAACACCGTACATTTTCAAACAAACTTTTCATTTTTAAAATCACATAAAACTCATTATCACTTTTTCTCAAAACCCCAAATGTATTAATAGTCAAAAACACAAATCAACAAACAACTATTAATATCCCAGAACCCTCAAACATAAATCCCGAACAGGTGTGTACAATCAAGTCGCCGTCTTCCCGCGATCCTGAGAAGTACCTGAAACACATATCACAGCTTAGTGAGTCCCCCAAAATACCATACACAAATACTTAACCTCTCATGGTTATATCTCTATAAGGACCCTCCGGTCCATGTGTCTCAGTGAGGACCCTCCGGTCTCACAACTCGGGTTGGACCCTCCGGTCCTAACCAATAAAGCACATAACAATATACAACATAAATCACAAAGACAAATGCATAATATCACATCACTCAGCATAAGCATATAAGACCCTCCGGTCATACTGAATTACCACTCAGGTAAGTATAGTGAGAAGACTCACCTCGTAAGTAAAGTAGGTATGTCTCGTACTCAAACCACCGGTCTAGCTTCCGCCTAACATATGTCTTAACTAACTCTAATTAATAAATGAGCCCTAAAGATGTTAGGCTAAATCCTCTACTAATTCTCAAAAAGGATAAAAGACCATTTTACCCTTCCATGGCCTCCAAAGTCCACAGTTTGACCAAACCCTAAAAGTCAACAAAAGTCAACAGCAAGCACGTACGTTGGGCGTACAGTCCTTTACGTTTGGTATACTACTTCGCCATGCATGCATCGGGAATCTTCGCCGCTACGCTGCCCATATCTGGGATTACGCTCAACGTACGTCCCAGACTTACTTTTCCCACTTTCTTGGTCTTAATCCGTTAAGACTATAGCTATTATCTCATATCTGGACTCACCAAAGGCTAATACTCCATAAAATTTGTGACTTTAAGCCTTTGCATGGCTGAGAAAGTCTAAAACCCATAAACTCTCACTCCTTACTCACAAAAGTTCTCATATATCATGCATGGGGAGATGTTGACGTCCAAGATCCTATTTTTATGAGTCCACTCCACTAGAGACACTTAAAGGGACAGGTATTAGGCTCTGGAGTTCAACAAACTCATAAAGCTTCAAGCTTTGGGACATAAACCCTAAAATGAACCACAATATGCACAAATCAAAACAATGAGAAAGCTTTGAGCTTGATACCTCCAAATGATGCACCAACCACAGGGAAACTCAGATCCAATGCTTGGACTCCAACTCTATTCTCTTCAAGGCTCTTTCTTCACTCAAAGAATCCCACAAAGAACACTCAAAAGCTTCAAATGGCCACTCAAGCTAATAAAACGGAAATTAGGGTTTTGAGAGGATTTGATGACTGGAAATGGTGGCCTGAAATGAGGCCATCATGTTCCTTAAATAGGGACACCCCACACGATTAGGGTTTTCACTTTGAGCCTAGTACGCCCAACGTATCCTCTGGTACGCCCAGCGTACTAGGTGGCTTCCGCGTCCAAATCACGCACATGAGTACGTTGAGCGTACACATGCGTACGCCCTGTGTACTCAACTACCACCTTTTCTCAATTAAGGGCTAAACTTGACAACTACAATAAAGTAAGGGCTATTGAGATATACCTGGTCTCTGGATGTTACAATTTCATCCCCTCAATAGTTACAAATATCAAATCTGATATTAAGGACGACACCTTGGTTTTAGTACACACCCTTCCCACACATATATATTATCTTCTTGATCATCGTCCATACACATCACAACACCTCATTGGCTCGACACTCTCTTAAATGCACTTGGGGTCCATACATGCAAAGGTAGACCAACAATCTCTACCTACAGTGTCCTTTCATTTTGCATGAAGTTCTTTGTCCAATGGTTTGGTTTCTTTAAATATTTATTTCATTCCATCATTTTGTTTGAACTTTAAACACACACTATGAGATTTAAATTCCATCCAAACCCAAGAACCTCCAACATAGTTTTATCTCAATAGCAAGAAAACATTACTTACTACACACCTTACAAAGTTTACCTATCTTACAAACCTCTCTAACACTTCCCAACACAAGACAAGAAGAATCTGGTACCACTAACAAGTCTTTTTCCTCCAGTGTAATCTTATTTCCTTCTTGCATACCACTATTAGTTCCATCCTTCAAAGTTTTTTCCTTTCTACCAACATTGCATATGTTTGTTTTTTCTCACCTTGTAATTGCACACTAGGTAAGATTATTTCCCTTCCATAGATAGTTTTGTTCACTTATCCCGATCAAACCCCACCTCACATAGCAATATAGCATGCATATTTATACATCATACATAACCAAGACCGAAGGAAACAATACAAAATCAACAACATATAACCTCTTTATACATCATACATAACCTCTGATTCGAAATACAACAAGTATAAATAATAGAACATACCACACAAATTCCAAATTCATATCTTCCTTTCTGGTTTTTTATTTATATATAACCAAAAGTTACGAAGAGAATTTAGAAAGAACAGTTTTAAACAAATGTTGGGAGATAATACGATTGGTTTTTTCAGTTGGATGAAAAGAATCCCAAAATACAAATTTGCTGGCATCCGAACACGTAAAAGGATTGTACTGATCACACATATATCCCATCTCGAAGAATCCTGTCGCACAACATGCCACAGCTGCTGTCTCAAATCCTGTATAAAATTTTAATTAGTTATTTATTATATATAATTATATATACATATAAGATGTTTATGAATTTTAAAATAAATATATTATGATGAATATCGTGTATACAGGTGGGGAGATATTTGTACTTGTTGTACTTGTGCATATGTTTGACAATTTAATGTAATGTTTTTAAGCTTTGTCATAATGTGTGGCATGCCATGCATTTGCCAGTTTGCCACCCAACATTATTGAATGCAATGCACCTACATTTGATTAAATTGTATTAAATTTGTGTTTTATTAGGTTTATTTATTTATATAAAATAATGTTATTATCCATTTATTCAAAACAATGATGAATAGTTGATATAAATATTTTAAATGACGGATGTTATAAGAGTAAACTACAACATTCTTCCTTATGTTACTTTCTTTTAATCCTTTTTTATATAATTATTTTTAGATATCATTTCCGTTTCTTCCTTATTTCCACTTAACAGAAGTAATAATAGAGAAACGAAATATCATTCTATTTATTTTTTCTATCCATCTTCCTATCATTTTTATTTATTTTTTCTATTCATCTTCCTATCATTTTTAAATAATTACAAATTTAATAAAAAATTATTAATTTATTTAAATATAACAAGTGTCAAATTTTTAATTGTATTATGAAGATTGAAGGTGAAAAAAGTAATATGATATTTAATTTCTCATAATAATATTAAAAAAAAAAAGATAAAACAATCATTTTAACGGGACTTTATGTACTTAAAAGTTATAATATAAGTAAAGGGGACCAAAACTAAAATAAAATCTCTAGGAACAAAACTAATAATTTTTTTTTGTGGTCCTCAACTACACCAAATTTACAAGTTATCAAAAGACTAAAGTGTCGCTATCAATTGTGTAAGAGGTCCATGTCAAGTTATTTTCCTACATTATTCTTTTTTAATGTTAAATAAAATTATAACTTTTTTTATCTCATTAGGTTGGTATCATCAAATGCATGTCAAACATAGTATACATGTAACAAACAGAGTCAATGTACATGCTAGACCCGAAGTTTTCGAGTGAGTGAAGAGAAGCGAAAATTACCAAAAGTGGATGGTTTTCGAACAATTTGTTGAAAAATGGCATACGGATTGGAAAAGACGATTTTAGCCCCAGAAAGCTCATCATTCAACCTCTCCACCAACTCATTCAACTTCTCATTAAACACCAACGCCACCTTGTTATACTCATCCTTACATGTATCTCCATTTCCTGCAAAAAAGCTGGTTGTTCGCTCTAATGGCAAACAACCCATGGGAGGAAGGCCTCCCAGGGAAATTTTTCTAGCACCGAGGGCATAAAGGTCTTTTATGAGCCACTCGGCAATCGTGGCAAGGAAATTTTGATATTGAGTAACATTGTATTGGGATTTTCGGTTGGGAAGCGTATAGTAGTTCTCAAGGAAGTCATTTGTACCCATGCTTATAAGGTACACTGCTTCGGATATAACAATGTTGGCTTTTTCAGCGCCTAAATGGGCTCGAAGTTTTGATTGGTAGTCCTTGTAGTACTCTACCTCCCTCCATAGAGGTATCACTGACTGTATTTAGAAAATTAATTTTATCAGTATTTTGGTTAACCTGTTAAGCACTTAATCTAAATGAATTACTTAACAGGTAAGCCAAAAACGTTGCTACACATTCAACCATTTTACCCATACATGACTTAAAGAAAGAATAAAAAGTTAAAATAAAATAAAATAACTTTGATTTGATATTATTTAGACAAAATTGGGTTGGCTAGTTTAAGCTTTTTTTTTTTCTTGTTAAAATGTTATATTATGAAAAAATTTATCTAGCTATAATAATGAAAATTTCATGTAAAATGTTTTTATAATTTGATGGAAATTTCAAAATACAATAAGAAAAATAAAAGGAATATAAGTATAATAAACAAATCAATAAAATACGTTGTATTTTATTATTATTGACCATGTTAGTATTTAATTATTTATAAATGGATTTCATCACCGATCAAAATGAGAGATATCGTTTCCTGAAATCATAACATTTTGGAAAATTGTCACATAATAATCACTTTTCGCAAAAAAATTAATAAAAATGAATTTTTGGAAATTTAAAAATATGTTATCAAATTATTTATATTTTTAAAAATGTGAATAATTTTGAATTGCTTTTCTTTTACGAAAAATCATTCATATTTTATGAAATATTTAATACATTTTATCAAAAACTATTTATGAAAATACCTATTATTTCGTGCATTAAATAGCATTGAAAGATTTCTTTAATGGAGAACATAAATAAAGATATTTCATAAGTTATTAATAATTTGCAAAATTAAGTTTTACAAAATATGTGAGTATTTTATGAATAACTGATAGCTTAAAAAATTGTCATTTTGCAAAATTAAATTTTTCAAAACTTCAATATATTAAATACACTTTGTGTGTTTGTTTGGGTTGGTAGAAATAAATCAATAATTTGTTTCTTACTTAAAAAGGCGGCTTTTAAAATACTTCACACCAGTCAACATACTTTGCGAAACCAACCACATATTATAGATAGCTTTGAACGTTATACCAAATTTGGAATAACAGAAAATCTAATCTAAATAACAGAATAAAATTAATATAAATATATCATTGATAATTAATGCATTAAACGAAAATTAAGCATTAGTAAATCTTATCCTGATTTTTAATTACAGATTTTTTTTTAATTCGTTTTTTCAAATTTTCTCAAGGTGATCGCTTTATTAGTTAAGCTATTAATGGTGGTGAGCTGTTTGAGTGATCTTTATGATTATAAGAAATCACATGTAGAGACTGAACAGAATTAAATAATTTAGATAACAATTTTTGATGAATAAATCATTAAATTCATTTACTTCTTCATGTTTAAAGGTATTCAAAATTAATATTCATTTTATCAAAATCACTATGTTTGATGTAAAATATCAGTGTAATTTTATGATGAAAAATGCATTATGCTATTAAGAAACTTCTAGAAACAAACATGAATGATGAATCCTGCAGCTAGCAGTTCGTACTCCGTACAATCATATGATTTCTTCATCGAATTATTTTTGATCAAATGAAATAATCGCGATTTCTTCATCGAGTGAAAGAGCAATCTGAGAGAGAGAGAGAGAGAGAGAGAGAGAGAAACTTACAAGCACATCGGAAGTAGCATTGTCGTAACCTGTGCCAGCAGAAGCAAAACAAACGCCGGTGGCAAAATCCGATATGTTATACGCCGGATCCAAGTACGCCGGCACATACGGCCGCAGACCATACGACTCCGATATAAAATCAGGCGGAACACGTCCATTGGAAAATCTTCCGGTAGCCTTTCCACCGAAGAAATCACGTCCGTAAGGCCGGAAATTGCTCTTCAAAACCGTTTGAAGTTGATTGTTGTTTCCGGCATCTACAGAGGAATCTCCGAACACAATTACCGCCGGAACCTTGGCTCCGGTGATATAGATTTGCATGAAGAAGATAGCAGCAACAATGAAAACCCCCATTTCTAGAAATTGTGAGTGTAGAATGCTTAGAAAGGAGTGAGAACAGATATGCATATAAATAAGAAGAAAGCGGATTGGGGTTGGAGAGCAAGAAGTTTGTTGAGAGTAATAAATGACAAAAATGATATTCATTAAATTTTTTTAGAAATGGGGATTATTATGAAAGTGGAAAAAATATAATTGTCTCTTGTGGTGTAACAATTATATTTGCTTTTTAGCAATGATTAAAGATTTAATTCTAGTTTTTCTGCATACGTAAGGATGCCTTTTTTGTAAATGTTTAGACAAAAAATTACAAAAATGTACAATATTTGGTGTGATATGTTTTGTGCTAGAGTACATTTTGAAAAGGATACCCACATACTTTGTTCTTAAATTAATTAACGTTTTATTATAACTTACAAGTGACAATCCAAAGATATCAAAACTATTTTTTTTACGTTTATATATATATATATATATATTTCGGTTATTCTATTCAAACTAATTATTGTGCGGATGTAGGAATAATTGTGAACCAATCATTTTAGTTATTTTAAAAAAATCATTTATCCATATTATTAAATTAAAAATAAATAGAACAATACCATTTATATAAAAGAAGGGTAAAATTGTATATTTACATTACTTTAAATTAGGAAACACAAATTTAAAAATGAAATTTTCGGAATTGTTTTTATTATCTTAATTTTGAATTCTGTTTTTTTTTTAATTAATTCGATTAGAATTCTATCAAAATTTTATTTTGTTTTAATGATGTTCTATGAGATTGTTTTGTCAGAATGTTATTCTACTAGAATATTATTGAATAATAACAAAATTCTTGAACCTGCAGTTGAATAATAACAACATTTTTGAAAAAAATATCATTCTTAAATATAAAATTCTTGATACATTTTAGTATAATTAAAAATATTCTAACAGAATGTCATCAAAATACAAAAAATTCTTAAAAAATATCATTCTCAAATATACAATTTTGTACAAATTCTTAAAAAATATCATTCTCAAAATGCATATTCTAACAGAATGTCATCAAAATGCATAAAATTCTTAAAAAATATCATTCTCAAATATACATTTAGTTAGAATACAATGCTTGTGGACATGATGCACATGTTGCAATGCTTCTTGATGCTGCCAAAATCTTTAAACAACTAGAAAACGAATTACGGGTAGGTAAACTGATCATAAAGATTGTAGTGAATTATGAACATTGTTTGGCATGCGGAATTAAAGATTGCACAATGAACATGGTGATTTCGGTGTTTAAGAGATGCATTCGATTATATATGGTGTTACAAAAAGGGATTTAGATCTAAATCTACATAAATAACACACACTTACACACTCACTTTTACACCTCTCAAGCACACCTCTACATGTGGAATGAACCCACCTTATATAGAGGTGTTTACATGTCTCTCTCTCACTCTCTATCTCATGAGTCAAAAGGCTAATGCACCACATGCAAGTGGGTTTTACAAAAGTCAATACATTACAAAGTCATACATGGATAACTTTATACCCCAACAAAGATCAATTGGGGTTCGATTTTCTGTAACAATGTTGGATAGTGGAACTGGGCTTAATGCAATTCCAGATTCAGTCTCCATTGCTGGTACTTATAGAGCTGTTAGCAAAAAGAGCTTCTATGCATTTGCAGAAAGAATATAAGAGGTGATCAAATCTCAGGCATCTGTATATCGTTGTTCAACTACAATTGACTTTGAAGGTCCAAACATCCAATTTAAGAAATTTAGAAAGTCGATTTCGTTCTTCTCAGCTTCAATCAATAACAATAAAAAGAAAATAGAAGAAGAAGAAAGAACGGCCTGGAATATTTAAGAAAAAACCACCGAGCCCCCTCCACTGTTACGGATCGTTGTTGCTGGTTCGTCCCTTTTGTTGCTTCGGTTTGTCGAACCTAATGGACAGCCCCTCCATTTTGCGATCGATTAGCCCCCACCGAGAATCAACACAACTTGCTGCTTCATTCTTCTTCTTCTGTTCGGACTCATCAACTCCGGAGACAATCGGACTCCTCCTGCCGAACACCAAGCAACACAAACACCATCAGATTTGCGACTTTTTTGGGTTTCTGGTAGAGATCGTATGTTCTCTGGTGAAGAAGGCTTGGAACGAGATTTAGGGTTAATGCTATGAAACCGATTCTTATTTAAAGGGAAATTAATTGATTTAAATTTACCAAAATTAATTAATAGCTAAAATTACAATTTTACCCTTATTTAGGTATTTGAAATGATTGGTCCACATTCATCCCTACATCCATACAATATTTAGTTAAAATACATGAACCTATCTCTCTCTCTCTCTCGCTCGCTCTCTCTCTCTCGCTCGCTCTCTCTCTCTCTCTCTCTCTATATATATATATATATATATATATATATATATATATATATATATATATATATATATATATATATACACAGAGAGAGAGAGAGATCGGGTGAGGACTAATCGTGGTCCTCCATCTAAAAAATTGAATGACTATGATTTTTTTTATTTAATTGTATTTTTAATAAAAATGGCGGTGACATTTTTGAAATTATATCGAACTTTTTGCCATTTTCCGTCGAGGGGTAATTGTTTTGAGGGCTCAATCGTCATTTGCAAAAATAAACCCTCGTTACTGTCTTATTTCGTTCTCCCCCCATTTTCTTCATTCTTCTTCGATGTTTCAGTGTATCATATTCTCAAGCATCGATCGTATAATCCTGTCGTTCGAAGTCGTAATACTCTTTCAATCATCGTGTTTAATCTTCGCAGTTCTCGTGTTGATCTTATGGAAGCAAGTACACTTTGGTTTTTTAGTTTTTATGTTATTAAGTTTGTGTTTGATTTCTTTATGTATAATCAAAGTCCTTATTGTTAGTTTTTGCTATATTGTTGTTCAGATTCATCGATTATTTGTCATTTATTCATTCGTTTTTTTAATTATTACGAAACCCTAGTTTTTTCTTTTTTGCTATATTTTCTGTATTTGTCTTTGTCTGTATTTTTTTTGTTCGATATTCTAGTTAATCGAAGTGTTTTAAGTTCCATTTATTGATTGTCGTTGTTGTAATTGTTAGATTATGTGATATTATCACTTTTTGATATCGTTGTTTTTTTAATTGAACTATTTATACTTTTTTTGATGTATTTGTCTTTCTCTGTTTGCTATGTTTCGTTTTTTTGTTAATGGAAGTATTTGAAGTTCAATTTATTGTTTATCGTTTCTGAAATTGTTAGTTTACTTGATATAGTCACTTTTTGATATCGTTTTTTGTTTATGTAAACATAATTTTATCAAATTTGCATGTTTATTTGTTTGTTTTTAATATCAATTTTTAGTTTGTTATGTTAGAATTTGTTTTATGTTGTCTACTTTCTGTATTTGTATGGCTTGGTTTTCATATATTGATTATTGTTTATAGTTTGTATGTATAAAGTGTGCTTTTATTATTTTCTTTCTTTTCATATATTGATTCTTTGTTTCTAGCATTATTAAAAAAAAGATAGTTGTTATCTATATACATTTAAGGAATTCATATTTGTTTGTTTTAGCAGTCATAAATATGATTGTAGATGTTTATTTTGTTATCCAAGTTAAGCTAAGTTATTATTCATGTTAGAAATGATCTTATGTAATCATTGTAATGATAAAAAATATTTTACAACAATTGTTTTTTTTATTTCTTAATGTTTGTTTTCATATTTCTAGTTCCTTTTTAACATCATTTTCTTATTTGTTTTATTCATATGTAGTTGAATCAAAGAAAAGGAAGAGATTAGATTGTTGATCTTTCTTCTAATAGAAAGGCTTCATTAAGGTCCACGTCATTTGTAGATATTTCATCTTCTTCCAAAGGAACTTCATCAGTCAAAATTGTAAAAGTTAATAAGGATTCCAAAGTCATTAAAATTCCAAATGAAGATGATGATTTTGTTTCTGCTCTTGTTGCCGGTCAAGTAAATGTTAAGAAGGCTGAAATTGTATATAGGTATCCTCCGGGTTTAATATCTAGTATATACAGAAGCCTTAATGATAATAAAAAAGATGTTGTTAAGGAAATATGTAACATCCCCCTCTGGCAGGTCCAAGTCTTTTGTAGATATTTCATCTTCTTCCAAAGGAACTTCATCAGTCAAGATTGTAAAAGTTAATAAGGATTCCAAAGTCATTAAAATTCCAAATGAAGATGATGATTTTGTTTCTGCTCCTGTTGTCGGTCAAGTAAATGTTAAGAAGGCTGAAATTGTATATAGGTATCCTCCAGGTTTAATATCTAGTATATACAGAAGCCTTAATGATAATCAAAAAGATGTTGTTAAGGAAATATGTAACATTCCCCTCTGGCACGTATCACAATATTGTCCGCTTTGGGCTCCCGGCACGAAAACTTCCCAGGGGGTCACCCATCATTGGATTGCTCTCACCCGAGCTCGCTTAAATGCAAAGTTCTTATGGGATCTGCTGCTCTCACGGCTTTAAAACGCATTGTGACAAGGAAGGTATCCACACCCCTTTATAAGGAAATGTTTCTTTCTCCTTCCAAGCCGATGTAGGATCAGGTGCAACCCACCTTCACCCCCTATTATAGGGTTCGACGTCCCCGTCGAACACATCGACCCGTGCCCTAGCTCTGATACCAACTTGTAATACCTATAAAAATCATGCCAAATTTAAACTTTTAAAAACATTTCAAAACCATTAATCATTACAAAACTTGTTTTCAAAATGTATAATATCAGAGTATCCCAGAAACATAAACATAAATATGAGGAGCTGTACGATCATGCATTTGCCTTTCCGTGATCCCTTAATGTACCTGAAACAATAAACTGAAACTGTAAGCCCGAGGCTTAGTGAGTTCCCCCAAAATACCCATACACACAACAATACACATATAATCATAAACAACATACTATGGGTCTAGTCAACCATCAGGTTGGAATACCCCTGGCCCTTAACCATCCGGTTGGAATGCCAACATACTATGGGTCCAATCATCCTCGGTATGGAATACCCCAGGCCCACAACCAACAGGTTGGAATGCCCACATACTATGAGTCCAATCATCCTCAGGATGGAATACTCACGGCCCACAACCAACACGTTGGAATGCCTAGGTCTATTGGCTTTCGCACAAAGCAGATAAGCCTCAACCGCCAAACAAACATGTGCACATATAACAGATAATCACATAACAGTCTATAGACAAACAAACCGATCTAACGGATCATACTAGCATAACATATCCAGATAGCAATCCAAAGGGCCGATCTTGGTGCCTTAGACCCTTGAGTATAGTGAGGATAACTCACCTCGCAATGTCAGATCCGAACTGAAGAATCACTTTCCCGAATCACCGTCCCGCCAAGAATCCCGAACTATCCAAAATAACAAATGATATGTCAACATATGGGCTATCAATCTTGACTAAGTGATCCATATAGTCCATTTTGCCTTTTCTCAAATTTGGGCCAAGGCCCAATACCAAATCCATGATCCACAAGTCCACATATGCAAGGCCCATTATTGGCCCAAATTTCCAAATTGGGCCCAACTCCCTAATTGGGCCTCATTCCAAGATCCATATTCAAAACTGTCCCAAATACCATATTCATACAGTCTAGCAAAGGCCCAAGTCCAACTAGTCCATAAACAGCCCAAACCCCAAAGCCCAAAAGACAAAACCCAACAGAGGATGTACGCGGGGCGTACTCCTCTGGTACGCTGGGCGTACTCTTCCTGATGTTGACCACCATCGGGGTGGTTGACCCAGTACGTTGGGCGTACTGGATTTACGCTGGGCGTACGCAGTGATTTGCTAAAACCCTAATAAGTGCTTAATGACTTAAGCACTTAAGCCCAAACTTCAGATCCAGTGACCAAAAGTGCCTAGGACCCATAAAGTCACGAACTTTATCACTTTGGACGTACAGAAAGCTCTTAATACTTGGTCTTAATCAATTAAGACCTTCCTACTCCATGCATGGGACATCTTAAGCCATTGGGACCTCATTTTTATCACTCAAAACCTCTTCAAGAGTCTAGAAGGACAGTTTATTGCGTCCAAATCACATCATGAACCATATTGGGACTTTTGGGACAAGAAATGGTTCCTTAAGCCAAAATAGCAAGATCTATAAAATGCATGTATAAAGTTTGAAGCTTTTTACCTTCTGGAGCTTCTAGGGCACCAACGAACTTCAGATCTACAAGCTTGATATTCTTCTCCAACTCTTTGATGCAACACCTTATGAGCTCATAACCCTCCTTTACCTCAGCATCCACTGTTCAAAGGTGGGTTGCACCTAATCCCACATCGGCTTGGAAGGAGAACGAAACATTTCCTTATAAAGGGGTGTGAATACCTTCCTTGTCACAACGCGTTTTAAAGTCGTGAGGGCAGCAAATCCCATAAGAACTCTGCAGTTAAGCGAGCCCGTGCGAGAGCAATCCAGGGATGGGTGACCCCCTGGGAAGTTTTCGTGTAGGGAGCCCAAAGCGAACAATATTGTGATACGTGCCAGAGGGGGATGCTACAAATGGTATTAGAGCCAGGTTACGGGTCGATGTGTTCGACGGGGACGTCGAACCCTATAATGTGGGGTGAAGGTGGGTTGCACCTGATCCCACATCGGCTTGGAAGGAGAACGAAACATTTCCTTATAAATAGGTGTGGATACCTTCCTTGTCACAACGTGTTTTAAAGTCGTGAGGGCAGCAGATCTCATAAGAACTCTGCAGTTACTAGGAGAGGTGTGAATGACATATATGGACTTCCAATGGGTGATATTTCTATGAAAATTCCTAAGAAAAGTCGTTCTGGGATTTCTGTTATTAAAAACTGGAGGAATCGGTTTTCTATTTCTAGTATTAGGCTTCCTAATCTCAGAGAGCTTTTAGAAAAAAAGCATTGATTCAGGTATTATGTTTTTATTGAATTTTTTGGTTGCATATGTGACCATCATGGTTGATGGTCCATCTATGGGTACATGCAACCAAAAAATTTTAGAAAATTTTGATGAAGAAGTGTCCATTAAAGATCTTGATTGGTGTGGCTTTGTAATTGATTGTTTAAATCAGAGCAAACATTTGTTGAAATTTGAATCAGATTCAGTTCATGTCAAGAATCCTCAATACGCTGGTCCTGTTGCGTTTTTAGTGTTAAGTTTAAATTTTATATTTTTTCTCGATTTAATTATTAATTATATTTTGTTTTCATGCTAGTAGTTATTGTATCTTCATTGCAAAAAGTCATTTTCAGAATCATTTGAAAGGGTATATCATGCATCATCTTATTGGTCTCCAATTAAAATTAAAGATAAACTGAAAGAAGCATTTAGTGATGCAGGTTATGAAAAAGTTGAAGTCATTCAAACATATGAAGATTTTGTTGATGATGCAATAGATAAAGATTCTAAAACAGAAATAGGTTTATATTTTTTTCATTTTTATGAAATATTTTTATTTTATAATCTTATTTAATTGTTTTTTTAATATTTTAATTTAATAAAAAAAATTGTTTTTATATTTGTAGATGAAGAACACATTAGTCTTGCTAATGTTTTGAGAAGAAGAATGGAAAAGAAAAAGATGAAAGAGAATGAAGAAAACAAATATGTTGTTATGAAAAAGAAAACACATAAGAAAAAGATGAGAAAGAATATTCATTTGAAAAAAATGAATAAAAGTTCAAAGCAAAAATTTGAAGCTCAACAAGTTGAAGGTAATTTGTTTTTTCAATTAACTTTTATGTTTATTTTCCGTTGTAATTTATTACATTTTTTTGGATCTTTCTGAAAAAGGAATCAATATTGTTCACAAGAAATCAATTGAGAATGAAGTTTCTTTTGTTTTGGATTTTGCTAACAAAGGAAAAAAAGTTGTTGAAGATAACATAAATGAGAATCAAGTGAGAGATAATGGTAAGTTTTATTTATTTTTTATTTTTATTTGTATTTTATTTTCATTCACTTTTATATTTTGAATCATTTCATGTTTTTGTGGATAATGCTAATAAATGAAAGAAGTTTGTTCAAGAGAACATAATTGATGATGAAATGAGAAATGATGGTAAGTTTTATTTTTTTTTAAGTTTTTAATATACTTGAATTTTTTTATTTGTTTTTGATAAATATTATAATGTGAATGAAGATTGGATGGATAGCAGTCCTTCTGTTCCTCCATTTGATATTTTTTTTGATGGTTCAAAGTCTTTTGAGATATATATGTTTTTGCATTATGTTTTTGAATCATATTCTATTTGATCATTTTTTTTATCATTTGTTGATTTTAATATTATTTTTCGGGATTTTAAGGAGAAGATTGATTTTTTGTTTAAAAGCTATAGTTATTTGAAGCCTACCATTGATCATTGGATCAATCGTGCTTGGAATCAGTTCCCAGTAGGGGTGAGCAAAAACCGAACCGCAAACCGAAAAAACCACATAAACCGAAACCGAAATAAAAACCGACTCTGCGGTTTTTACTTTTGCAAAAACCGAAAATGTTCGGTGCGGTGCGGTTTCTAGTTTTGCAAAAACCGCAAAAAATCGAACCGCACCGCATATATATATATATATATATATATATATATATATATATATATATATATATTAAGTGTTGGTATTTGTAAGAACGAAGAACTCGTGACAGTTAAAATTTCTATAAATATAAATATTTATCTTATCAGAGGATGATTGTATAGTTTTAAACATACATTTAGTGATATTTATAAAAACAAATAATGTTTATAACATTTTTAACATTTAAATATGAAGACTACTATCGATGATAGTATCATTTTTATGAATACATTAATTGATATTATCTCATGTAAATGTGAAACATATTTAATTTGTATTATATTCAAGGATTAGAAGCATGTTGGATGAATGGTTATGTCATTTGATTGCAAACCAAGAGGTGGTGGTATCATAAAAACTGAACTGCAAGAAACCAAAAGACAAAAAAATAATAATAATAAAATAAAAATAAAAGACAAAAAAACCGCATAAAAACCGAACGGTGCGGTTTCTAAACTTCAAAAAACCGAAGTTGTGATTTTTGGTTCGGTTTTAGGCAAAAACCGCACCGAACCGCACCATGCTCACCCCTAGTTCCCAGGAAACAAAGAGATTTCGGAGTATGCTGATAAAAGAAATGTTGAATATAATAAACTTCATCAAAATATTGTGTTATCTTGTGGTCCATAAGTAAATCAGAAGGTTGAAGTTTCCAAGGATTTTTCGAATGTTGAAAAACAAAGTGAAGATGTTCCTCTTTGTCAGGAGTTAAGAGATGTTCAACTTGATCAACTGTCAATGACACAAATTTTGGATCATCCTAGGGTTCAGGAACAGTTGGAGGTGTTAATGAATTCAAATGAAGTTTTGGAAGATCGTAGTATTGAGCCAAGCAAAATATTGAGTGATCTAGTTGTTTCAAATCAGTTTCATGATCCTGATGCTATTATTTAAAACCCTTCAGGAAAGCCTTCTCCTATTTGTTCAGATCATGCTTTAGTTATTGGTGATCTTCTACAAGCATTGTAGGTGAAGTTGTTGGATTCAAACATGTAGGGGTAGTTGAAAATTTGTCTCAGAGGCATTTGTTGGATTCAGACATTGGTTTAGATGCAGGTTTTAGAACTCCAAACGATCCAATTCCTCTTAATAGTTCTGCAGAGAAGATTAAGCAACTTATCATTTTTTCTGCAATACTAATTCAATCTTATAACATCAATGCCACGCCAGGTAGACCAAAAAGAGATCTACAACCGACTCTAGCACTTTGTGATGGGTTTTATACATAAGAACAATCCTATGTGATCATACAAACCCTAATGCTTGGATCTAGGTTTCTCTATTGTACATGCAATGAATCCAATACTTATAAACCCTAATTTAGCATACATAATTTCGAAATTAACATATTACATCAGATCTAGATGTTTACCTCTTCAATGGAAGCTTGAATCTTCTTTCTTGGAGCTTAGAGTCATAATTGTAACTCCTCTAATGGCTTACAAACACCACAAGCAAGAAGGCAACTATGAGAGAGGAGGGAGGATGCTTAATTTTGGCCTAGGGTTTCTCTTTGAAAGCAAGTCAGCCGAAAATTGAAGGCTAGGGGTCTTATTTATACTGTAGGCTGCTAGGGTTTCAGTCTAAACCCTAATGGACAGCATAGTCACCAAGCAGCCCAAGGAACCTTCTGGAACAAGGCCTTAGACGAAAATATGATGATCCTTCATCATAATTTCGTTCCCCCTTAGTCCATTAGGTTTCCCAGCCCAAAACTCAACTATCACACATTTGACAGTTTATGCCCCTTTATTTAATTAATCTCTTTTAGTCACCAAATTAATTCCTAATTAATTTATGACTAATACTAATTAAATAAATATGATTTCTCCTTTAATATATTATTCTTATAATATATTAATAAACCATAATATCCTCTCTCTTTCTTTAAATTACCTTGTCAAGTTGTTTTGGTGAAGGCAACCCAAAAGGACCATGCACAACCGGGTCAAGTACATACCAAATATAGTTACGGGCTTAGACACTAATCCAACAGTCTCCCACTTGGATAAGTCTAGTAACTATATCTCACATATGACTTCAGAATCCGGTTAGCAATCGTAGCTCTTATACGCTTCTGTCAACTCTGATCAAAATCATGTCCTTCAGATAAGGGATCGTATAATCCTCTGTTCTAGATATCATGCTGACAATACTTATTGTCCAGCATTTTGTTTCTCGATCTCTGATTTATTCAACATAGAATTTAGTTGAACACATCAACTTCATCCTGACCGGGCCCGACACATAAGTCAAACTAAATCATCGAGTGGCCAAGATATCGCTTTTATTCTCCTAGAATAAAAGGAACAGATAAACTTTGACTTATATGCTTTTATCATTTACTAGCTAAGTCACACACAATAATGCGTTTTATAACATCAAGTTACTGATGCGTTTTCGCATTATCAATCTATAATCAACTAGCAAACAACAACCATATCTCTAGGTTTAAAGATTATATGATATTATCATCTTGCGATCACTTGTGATAACTTTCATGAAGTGATACTAGCAAGTGCGGGTTTATTCCAATGCTCAAAACATATTTCATAAGCACTCATAAACTTTGTAGCAAACCTTTTCTATGTCTAAAACCTTTTAGACAATCTACAAACAAATTCATGACAATCTTCTTTCATATCTACTTCCAACATATGAGCGATTGTGGACCGTTCGAACAATCTTATTATTCAGGAAGTCAAAACATGCAAAATCGAAACAATAGATAAATAATCAACACAAGATAGTAACTTTCTTATAAATAACACACCTTTATTTAATCATCAAATGTTGAATACAAAATTATCCATTACAAGTTTCCTACCTATCTAATCCAAACTAATATCGTCCTTTAGCCCAACGCTCTTAGCGTGCTTCAAATGCTTGACCCTACTCAGTCCCTTCGTAAGGGGATCTGCTGGGTTATCTTCCGACGATACCCTCTTCACAACGAGGAGTCCCTCTTCTACCCGATGTCTAATAAAATGGTATTTCCTGTCGATATGTCGAGATCTGCCATGATCCCTTGGTTCCTTGGTCAAGGCAACCGCTCCTTCATTATCACAGAAAATTTCCATGGGCTCCTTTATGGATGGCACAACTCCAAGGTCTCCAATGAAGTTCTTCAACCATATAGCCTCCTTTGACGCCTCGCTTGCCGCAATGTACTCTGATTCGCACGTTGAATCAGCTACGGTCTCTTGCTTGGAACTTTTCCAAGTCACTGCTCCTCCGTTCAGGGTAAAGACCCAGCTCGACTGCGATCGGTAATTATCCCGATCCGTCTGAAAACTAGCATCACTGTACCCTCGCACCCTTAAGTCATCACTCCCACCGAGGACTAGAAACCATTCCTTGGTCCTTCGTAGGTACTTAAGAATATTCTTGACAGCAATCCAATGTGTTCTACCAGGGTTCCCTTGATATCTGCTGACCATGCTCAAAGCGAAGGCCACATCAGGGCGAGTACAGATCATAGCGTACATAATCGAGCCAACCGCGGAAGCGTAAGGTACTCGGCTCATATCAGCTATCTCTGCCTCTGTACTCGGGCTCTGAGTCTTACTCAGTTTGGTATTGCATTGAATTGGCAACTCCCCTTTCTTGGAATTTTCCATACTAAAACGCTTTAGTACCTTTTCCAAGTATGTATCCTGACTGAGTCCTATCAGTCTCTTACTTCTGTTTCTCACTTTCCTTATTCCCAGAATATATGCAGCTTCTCCGAGGTCCTTCATAGCGAAGCACTTCCCAAGCCAGGACTTGACCTCCTGCAAGGTTGGGATATCGTGTCCTATGAGTAGTATGTCATCGACATACAATACGAGGAAGCTCACTATACTCCCACTGGCCTTGACATATACACATGACTCATCTTCGTTTCACAGAAAACCAAACTCTTTGACCTTTTCGTCAAAACAAAGATTCCATCTGCGAGATGCTTGCTTCAATCCATAAATGGATTTCTCAAGCTTGCACACTCTATTGGGATGCTTCGCATCGACAAAACCCTCTGGCTGATTCATGTAAACATCCTCAACCAACTTCCCATTAAGGAAAGCAGTTTTAACGTCCATCTGCCATATTTCATAGTCATGAAATGCAGCTATTGCGAGCATTACCCTAATAGACTTTATCTTAGCAACCGGCGAGAAGGTCTCATCATAGTCAACTCCAGGAGTTTGAGTAAAGCCCTTCGCGACCAATCACGCTTTATAAGTGTGCACTTTCCCATCCATGTCCGTCCTCTTCTTGAAGATCCACTTGCACCCGACTGTCTTACGACCTGGTACATTATCAACCAAATTCCAAACTTGGTTGTCATACATGGACTGAATCTCGATGTCCATTGCCTCTTTCCATTTAGCAGACTCTGGGCCTGCCATGGCTTCCTTGTAGCTATTAGGTTCGTCCAGATTTATTAGTGTACTATCACTAATAAACGTATCCCCGTCAGTAGTAATATGGAAACCATAAAACTGGGGTGGAACAATAACTCTACTCGAACATCTAAGAGGTAAGGACTGGTCAATTGGTTCAACAGGAGTTTCCTCCTCAGGTTGAACGCCAGTGTCAGAGGTTCCTTCATCTCCTGACTCTTGAAGCTCTTCAAGGTCAATCTGACTCCCACTGTCTCCTTGACTTATGAGTTCTCTTTCTCTAAAAACCCCTCTCCTAGCAACAAAGACAACATTGTCACTTGGTCTATAGAAGAGATAGCCAAAAGACTTATGTGGATAGCCGATGAAATAACACTTCTCACTACGAGGTTCTAGCTTGTCGTGAGTCTCTCGTCTTACGAAAGCTTCACAACCCCAAACCTTGATATGTGCTAACGAGGGAGCTTTCCCTGTCCACATCTCGTGAGGTGTTTTGGCAACCTTCTTGGTGGGAACTAAGTTAAGGATATGGGCGGCAGTCTCTAAGGCATACCCCCGGAATGAGATTGATAACGAAGCACGACTCATCATAGAACGAACCATGTCCAACAAGGTTCGATTACGTCTCTCAGCCACACCATTCAATTGTGGCGTTCTAGGAGGCGTCAATTGTGAAACTATTCCGCGTTCTTATAGATAGTCGTGAAACTCAAGACTTAGGTACTCTCCCCCTCGATCAGATCGAAGCATCTTGATTTTCCTGCCCAACTGATTCTCTACTTCATTCTTAAACTCTTTGAACTTTTCAAAGGTTTCTGACTTTTGCTTGATTAAGTAGATATATCCATATCTGCTATAATCATCTGTAAAAGTCACGTAGAAGCGACAAGCGTCCCTTGTGGTGGATCTAAAGGGTCTACATACATCAGTATGTATGAGATCCAATACACCCTCATCCCTTTCACATGCACCAGTAAATGGTGACTTGGTCATCTTCCCAAGTAAACAAGATTCACACACGTCATCGTCCCTAAGGTCAAATGACTCTAAGACTCCATCCTTTTGGATTTGGGCTATGTGTTTCTTGTTAACATGGCCAAGGAGACAATGCCACAAGCATCCTTTGTCCAAACTATTCGACGAATCAATATTCAAGACATCATTTCCTAAATTATCTACAATCAACACAGATTCATAAATCCCATTACAAGGTAATGCATTGAAATAAAAAAACACCATTCAAATAAACATTAATAGAACCATTGCTATTATCAAATGAATATCTGAAACCTTGTCTATATAATCCATGAAAAGAAATGATGTTCCTTGCCATATCTGGCGAATAGCAACAATTACTTAAATCTAGTCCTAACCCATTACTTAACACTAAAAGAATAAACTCCGATCTTGGTTACTGGTGACGACTTCTTGTTTCCCATGACCAAGTTTATTCTCCCATGCTCCACTTCCCTACTTTTTCTTAGCCCCTGCAAATAAGAACAAATGTGGAAA